CTGGTGCATTCCTCAGATATTTCATGGTCTGCTTTCCTTCAAGTCAGTAAAACCTCCTCAAAGGGGCCTTTACTGATCAGCCCATGCCCCTCCCTCTGCTTCCCATGCTCTTTTGGTTTTATTTTATTTTTATTTCATAGCTGTGATACACTGTTACACTAGATTGTTCATTGGTCCCCAGAGAATCACACCTCCTGGAATTCAGACCCTCAGGTAGTAGCTTCCATGTGGACTCTGGGCTTATCCAGGTAGCTTGCTTGCACCAGTGGGTCATTAGCAAAGGTTATGGAAGCAGAGGCTCAGGGGGAGCTGTGCACTGGGGATCGCCCTTCTAGGAACACTGGTACTGCCACCAGGTAAGAAATCCGCAAAGGGAACCCAGAAAGGCATGTCCTGCTGGAGATACCGATGTGCAAGAGAACGCAGGTGCCCCTACAGACCACCAGCCACCCTCCAGCCATGTGAGCAAGGCCATCAGGGACTACCCAGCCCCAGCCAAGCCACCAGATGACCACAACCACATGAGTGACCCCAGCAAGATCAGCAGAACCAGATCATCCACCCTATTGATCCAGTAGATCAACAAGCTACAGCCCATCGGCCAAACCCGACCCACCACCTGTTTTTGTAAAGCCCAAAACCTAAGAATAGTTTTTACATTTTTAAATGTCAAAAAAAATAAAAATAAAAAGGAAAATAATATTTTATGGCATGTGAAAATTATATCAAATTCAAATTTCCATGTCTGTAAATGAAGTTTTATTGGAAAATATTCATTTCTGTATTTGCCACAGCTGCTGCATGCTACGACAGCACAGTGGAGTGGCTGCGATGGAAACCACACGGCTCAGGAAGCCCAAACCATATACTATCTGTCCCTTTACAGAAGAAGTCTGCGGGCCCCTCCTGCAGGCTGCCATCAGCAAACCTTTAAACATCTTTTGTATTGTGTTCACTTTAAAGCCTTTGAAGACGTCTATCTCCCTCCTCAAACGGATGAAACTTCGTTGGTCTGACTTTTCCATCTTAGTCAGACCCCAGGAGCTGGTGACCTAAATTCATTTCCCATGACACGATATCAGGGGCTCTCCCTTCTGGACCACCTGGCCACTAAGCTGTCCCACGAAGGCCTGAGAACGTCCTCACCTGGTTTGTTGTTCTCGCGTGGAGCCTTCTCCCCACCTGCTGCGATCTGAACCCTCCCTATCCTTATCTCCACTCGGGGTCCCCAGCAGCACAACCAGGCAAGCTTCCCTGACTGCTTTGCCGAATGTTTCCCCGGGGTGTATTCTATGGAACATCAAACCCAAGGGACATCCTAGGGAAAAGGAAACATCGCATACTCTACCCTTCCTTGGAGTCCCAGTGCACATACATGGCCTAATAAAAGCTCTGAGCACTCCTGCAAGAGAGATGCCTGTTTCCCTTTAACTCAACCTTTCTCACATGTATTAACCACGGATTTCATTTTGTCTACAGAATACTCGTTGACCACCAGCATCTAGTACAGTGCCTGTATTTTAACATTTGTTGAAAGAATGACATGCTAACAATCCCACAAAATCAGGGTTCGACAAAACATATTCCAGAAATACTATTCAAGCTCTTTCTTCCCCTCTGATCTAACGCCGCGCCCTTCCATGTCATTCACTCCCTATCATGTAAATGCTATTCATTATAATCATAATAACTATCATTTATTTAGCACCTGGAGGCACTATGCTAGAGATAGCCCTAGACCCTTGGAAATGCCATTTCTTTTAATCCTCGCAAACACCTCTGAAGTAGGTAATGTAATTCTTTCACTGCCATTTTGCCAAAAACTAAACCATGGGTCAGAAAATATAAATCACTAGGCCAAGATAAAGTAAGTAGAAAAGCTAGGATGTAAAACCACATCAGCCTGAACTCCAAAGCTCATGATTTTTCTTCTCTGTCAAAATGTCTCCTGATCACATAACACAGCCAGCACCGCCCACCCCAATACCCCTTCGTGCCTCCATCCATGCTGACAGAACCCTGTGTTTGTAAATGGAGTGGCAACAGGTGAACCCAGACAGTGGATCACGACACATTTAAAACCAATCACAACGGTGTTCCCACTCCCCCACCTTCCAACCTTGCAGCTAGGACTAGCCATCTGACCTATTTCTGGCTAAGAAGACATAATTAAACATCATCTGTGGGGTAGGAAGGAGGTGATATCCTGGGGGAAGCCAAACAAAGGTATGAATCAGTTATTCTTTCACACTCACCTGGTCCCCCTCCTTCCTGCCTTGAACAGGATGTAATGGCTAAAGCTTCAGGAGCCACCTTGCAACTACAAGGAAGAGGCCACGAGAATTTGTAAAGACATCAGCCCTGATGTTACTACCTTACTGAGCCAACTCAAGCAGCTATGCACCTCCAGACTTGTCTCCACGTGAGAGAAAGAAACTATTTGCTTAACCACTGTGGTTGGATTTTCCATTTCATGCAGCTGCTGAACACATTCTTAATGGACCCATATGCTGGCTCCCATATTATTTACTGTTTGGACTTTATCATTACTTCACATATATATTATTAGCCTGTCTCCCCAACCATGAAGCATGATTCTTGAAGGCTAAGTCCATGTTGTATGTTTTTGTTTCTATAGGGATATATGCATTTTACTAAATTTCGATTATCAAGGTTTTCTGGGATGGTCTGTTCAATTTATTACTTTCTTTAGTGTTTGTGAACAGGGAGTTAGTGGACTGTCAAAAAGATGATATGACACCTATCTTGACATCTATCTCCTAACAGATTAGTATTTCTCAAAGTGTCAATATGAAAACATGCATCAAAAACACTATTTTGATAGCCTGCTAATTAAACACAGATTCCTGGGCCCCCTCAATCCCAAAGGAATTCGAATCTCTGGGGTTAGAGACTGAGACTGTGCATTTTTAATAATGTCCCCCAGGTGGTTTCGATACACAAAATTTGACAGCTCTTGGGATAGAAACAAAACCTGTGGGTCCAAAGCCTACATAAGGTTTGGCAGGACTTGGCTGGACCCTGAATCACCAGCCCCTCAGTGGCCCCATTCTCCGGCTAGAGATTTGGGAAGCATAAATTGACATGACTGCTCAAGACCCTTCCCTGGACAGTATGGCTAAAATGCTTGGCACGCTGTGTGGCAAACTGGGGCTAGGAAACTCATACACAGAGGGATTCCCAACAGCTGCAACCTCCTGCCGTAGCAAAGCTGCCATCCTGCCCCCTGCCCCTGCCATTTAAAAAGAAAACCACTTTGCAGAAAAGCAGCAAGGGACCAGGGTCCAAGGAGTTGCCAGAGGAGATTCTTCAACACGTTGAAAAGGGGAAAAGAAAACCAGTACACAGTAATACACGGACTAGCATTTGGGACTCCTGACTCCAAGAAACAGAAGAGACCTCAGGGGGCCCTTTCTGTTTATTTATTTATTTATTTATTTACGGCATGCAGTTCTGAACAGAATCTTATCTTGGGCACTGCTCAGAGATGTAAGGCTGGGCCAGGGCATCCCACACTTCTCACGTCAGCAGAGTCCTCGCTGAGACTGCCCTCCTGAAGCTCCAAGAGAAAAAATGTTTGTGCCTCGCAACAGGATTCTCTTCTGATACTCCTTGACGCTTACTTTATTTCATTTCTGAGGATCATCTTCCCAGATGGCAGGCACACACAGACACTGTATTATTCTAGGGTAGCATATTCAACACACACACACACACTCCACTTTAGAACTGATGACCTTCCTGCATGCTACCATCAGGCCAAATTTAAAACCATGGAGGAAAAAGAAAGACTTGGAAGTGAATCAGAGAGTGGTGCTCATCTAGGCTAGATCGGGGTCACAAAGGCCAAAAGATTCAGGACAGACTGTAGAGTTCAGGCCTTGGAAACTCATGGGCTGGAAATGGAGAGAACCTCCCACACGACACATGCCCACTCCACCACCGGGAGAACCCTGTTCCTCCGCTCCCACCACCCTCAGCAAATGCCAGCTCATGGGAGTTCCCGAATTCAATCAAGCCATGTGTACAGCTGGGCCAGTTTGAGGGAGGGAAGTGAGTCGAACCCCTTCAGACGCTTCAAACAACGTGGATGCCCAATGAGTATGTGGACGCTGGGCATTTTCTAAGGCTCTTGAAACCTTTCTCCTTTGACCAAATGGACCTCGGAAGAAATAATTTCTACCATCTTTCTGAGTAACTTTGCATCTGCCCCAACCCCCACAAAACTGCTTCAAACTCCCCCTCAAGTTCTAGTGGAGAGAATGTTACAATACGCTGAAGAAAACTCTTCCTCCCACCTGTCTCCTCATGGTCCCACCGAGATTCAAGAGTTATTTCCCCACAGCACGTGTGTGTGCTGATCCAGGCACATTTTTCAAAATCTTTTTTACACGTTTTAGGCCTGCCACGGCTCTCTGCATCAAAATGATGGGATTTTTGTTATGCATCTTGCCTCCTGACATGTATATCACTGAAAAACAATGCAAGGAGCAAAACGGCCAGGCAGGAGGCTGAAAGAAGACGTCTGTATGTACAGGCAGCCCCACTCTGCAAGCAAAAACCACCTTTTGACCACCTGCAGAATGCGCAAGGTCACGTGGGTTCTCTGCAGCGCCTTAATGTCTTACCCAGCACACAAGCCCCGGTGGCATATAAACAAACCCACAAGCAGTAAAAAGAGAGAACTCACTCCTCAGAGAGGAAGCAAATGATACCAGCCGCAGAATAATAATAAATAAGTAACAATTACTACTACTACTACCACCACCACCCAGTCAGGCACAGACGACAGCAGTATAGCAAAGGAACATCGAGTGCAGGCTTTGTAAGCAGAAAAATCACAGAAAACCAAACCGTGCCCACCTTGCCAACGTGCCCACCTTGCCCCCCTCCCCCAACAAACAGAATCAGGGGAAAGGGGATGATGGGGAGCGAGGGGAGGGAAAGAAGGATTGTTTGTTTTCACAGGCAACACCTACCTCCAGGGTCCGGATCTCTTTTTGTGTGAGGTCGTTGGAGGCGGCACATTTGGTCCTAAGCCCTTCCAGGTTGGAGATGCTCAGGTCTATCATGTTTTGGACCAACTCGCACTGCTGTAAGGCTTTTTGCAAACTCAGAGGCTGCTGCTCCTCGCTTTTCGTCATGTTTTCCTCATCCATCGCTTGCTCTGCAAGCCCCCTTCCCCTCCTCCTCCTCCCAGAGAGAAAAAAGGTGGGGAGGAGGGAGTAGAGGTAGTCTCCCCCCTGCGCCTGTCCAACCACTGCGACTCCTCAACAATGTCTCAAGAAGAAACCCAACATCTCACACAGGGCTGAGGGGGTGGGGGTGGGAGGAGGGGACGAGAGCCAAAATTTATTATTTTATTTTGGGGTATCAAGCCGACTCCATTAGATGTCTCCTCTCCCCGAGTCTCTGGTCCCTGAAAAGGAGAGATGCTGTTTCTCAGAGGCAAACCAGGTGATGCGATGCTGTCTGCACACTTAGGGAGGAGGAGGAGGAAACAGAGGGGAGGCCGGCAAGGGAAAGAAGGGAGGGAGAGGGGGACGAGGAGGAGGCGGCGGAAAGCGGCGCTCACTCTTTACACACCGGCTCCGTGAAGGACAAAATTATATATTTTTGGCTGGCTTGCTGTTATGTCAAAAAAAATCTGGTTTGCCCCCCTCCCGGTGGCAGTGACACGGCATTGTCCGCCGTTTGGGGCGCTTTAGCGCGTTCTCAGGACGCCGTCTGCACGGCTCCCGCGGCTGCGGCGGCGACTGCGGCGGGCTGCCGCCTCCTCCTCGCGCCGCTGCGGCCGCCGCCGGGCTCCGGGGGGAACGGCTGCTGCATTCGCTCCGGCCTCGCTCCGCACCGACATCTTGCCTGTCAATCAAACCGGGAGTCGGGGGCGGCGGCGAGCGCCGGCGAGGGACGGAGAGCGCGCGAGCTGGGGACCTGCGGGGCGCGGGTTGGTGGGGAGGCGCCGTGCGCGCAGCCGCCCCGGCCGCCGGGAGCTACCGAGGCGGCGGAGCAGGAGCGCGCAGGCTCGCGCACCTGGCCGGGGACGGGCCGGGGCGCGGGGGGCGGGATTTCGGGGGCTGCGGAGCGCGCGCGGCAAAGTGACATTACTACGGGACGGGCGACGAACAGGGGCGCGGGGGGGGACGCGCGACGGCCCGGGCAGCGGCCGGGGGCGGTGGCGGAGGCCGGGGGTGGGCCGGAGCGGGGGCTGGCCCAGGGCGCCGAGGGAGGTGGGGGCCGCTACTACAACACCGCTCTCGCGAGACGAGGCCGGAGTCGGGCTCTGCAGGTGCGCTCTGGCCGGGGAGCAGGTGTGCGCCCAACTTTTAGACCCTTAGTGCGTGCTGGAGGAACGTGAGCGTGAACCTGGGCACGTCCTCTCCGGCTTTCTGGCTCCGTGTGATGTGTGTGCGCGCACGCGCCTGGCTTTTTGTTCGTTTGTCCTTTCTTGTTACTGGGGGAAAAATAAAACAAACCTGATGATCTTCCCTGAGCTGTAGGAAGCTGCCTCCCAAAACTGGTACCCTGGCCTGCAGTTACCCCGAGGGGTGGCTTTCCATTTGGATGGGGGAAGGAACTTTGCCTTAATGTGATTGTGACCATGTCCTACGTGTCCTACATGATCTGATCCCAGACTACCTAATGGACCTATCAGCCAGCTGTGGTCCCAGAACTAAAAATGATTTTTACATTTTAAAATGGTTGGGGAAAAAAATCAAAAGAAAAATATTTTGTGATGTGAAAATTATAAGAAATTCTAACTTCAGTGTCCATAAAGTTTTATTCGAGCAGTGCCGCTCATTTGTTTATGTTTACTTTGGCATTATGCCAGCATAACTCAATTGCAACAGACATTATATGATTTTGAACACCTAAAATACTACCTGGCCCTTTACAGAAAATTTGCTGATGCCTGATTAACACACCATATTCTTTTTTTTTTTTTTTTTTTTCAGTGGGTTGAAGAGTTTATTTACGAAATGGTCCCACCCTAATTGGCTCTGCCCCAGTACTGAATAAAGTTAGGTCCTTTCTGTACACTCGCTACAGTAACAAATTCCAGATGAATTAAAAACTTCATGTAACATCTAAAATTGTTAAAAATTAAATAAGATACAGGTGTGAGAAATACCTTATTAGGTAAAGTATGACACCCAGAAGCCATAAAAATTTTTTTATAAGTATTCGATTTTTTTCTATAATGATAACACAAAGTTGAGGTCAACCCACTAAAGATAGTTACTTTTTTTTTCTTTTGTTTTTTTCTTTAATTTTTTTTTGAGAGGGCATCTTTCATATTTATTGATCAAATGGTTGTTAACAATAAAATTCTGTATAGGGGGGTCAATGCTCAATGCACAATCATTAATCCATCTCAAGCCTAATTCTCGTCAGTCTCCAATCTTCTGAAGCATAACGAACAAGTTCTTACATGGTAAAACACCATATTCTTACTTCTGAATCTTTTGCACTCTATGTCCCCTCTGCCTGGGCCATATTTCTCCCTAAGCCTCTCCTGGTTGGTACCTTGTCACTCAGAAAGGCTTCATCTCCCTGACCATCTTAACTAATAAAACTGCCAATATGCATTGCCCAAAGGATTTATTTAGGGTAATTAGTAAAAGCCACCTCTTTCTCCAGGTAAACAGAGCTCTATGCCAGGGAACTGGGCTTAAAGGGCAGAATAGTACACATGGTACAATCAATGTCCCTTAAAGGAAGTAGAAGGACAGCCAGTGAGGGCATACTTTTTTTGGACTGTGGGCCATGTGGTTTTATAGCTCATACACAGCTGAATCAGCATCTAAAGCCTTCTGTTGATAAGGAACTCAAGTGAATTCTCTATTTGGACTGCGAAATTTATGAATTCCAATTCTCTGGTAAAATTCTATTTTTGCCTATTTTCTCTACCTTTTGCTTTATTTTTCTTGAACATATTACTCATTTTAAAGCCCCTGTCTAATTCCAATACTCTATCATCTGCAGTGTCTGTTTCTAATGACCATTTTTCTCTTTGTTTTTGGTGATTTGGTCCTCTCTTGACAGGTGTTGTAATTTTTGTTGAATGCCAATGTGTATGAAAAAATGGAGAGAGAGTCTCTAGGTGATGTTATCTAACTCTGGAGGCAGTTCATCCTTTCTCTGCAAGAGAGATGGCATGAGGACTAACCAACTTAACCCAATTGGAGGTAGAGCCAGGTGGAAGCCGGGTTGCAGTTTTGATAAGACACCATCTAACTTTGGCCTCCACCTCTAAGCCTTTGCCTTTCAGGGAGTCCAACTGAGAACTTTATATTTGCTGAGGCCCCTCCACCCTAGTATTTTTACATTTGCAGTATTTTCACAGGCTCTAATCCTTATCTCCATAAGAGACTGCTGAATACTCTGGTTTTCAGGGACTTTCTGCTTTGCTTCTTAGCCTCTTGGCCTGAACTGCTTTGGAATTCACCAAATGTCTTAAGGGGAAAACCACCACCTATCAAGCTCACTTTTCTGCCCCTCTCTTCTCTCTGGGCTATTAGCCTCTCAAGTTGCTAATTTTATCTCTCCAGCCCTACAAGCCTGCGCTGCTGGTTTCTCTGCCCCCCAGCAGCAGCTCCCTTACCTGGGAAAAGTATAAATTCTAGGTGCCCAAATTTGCAAATGCTCCCAGGGAAAAAGTGGCTGCAGGATGTCAGTTCACTGCAACACAGTTCCCCTCTCTCCAGAATCTTGGCCCTTCTAGTCCTGGTTATTTGGTGACTCTCTGAATGCCTTTAAGCAGATGCTGACAAGCAGGACGATGATGATGATGATGATGATGATGATGATGATGATTTGATCTGGGTTTTCTAGTTGTTTTCAGAGAAAGTGGAAGTGTAAACAATGCAAGTAGTCTATAGATCAGAAGCTATCAGTGGGCAGGACAGTAAACAGCACATAAATGCATTGTTTGACCTCACACACGCACACTTTTTTTTCCAGTTGATTACTATAGTGGACATCTGTTACACTTTGCATCCATTCAATCTCCCTTGAATACTTTTCCTATTTGGAAAATGCTCCACTTCTCCGTAAGAGAAACCAAAGCACTTCTCCAGAACCCTCCTAAAAACCAGGTTTTGTGTGATCTAGGCTCTTCCATTAAACACACCACATGAGAGATGAGCAACAAAGAGGAGGAATCTGAGAGTGAGCATGGCAGCCAGTGCACCTGCTCCCCATGTCCCGCTCCTGTGTAAACTTAGTGTCTGTGCTGAAAAGCATGCCATGGTGTTCACAGGGCAGCTCATGGTGTGGTTTAAGCTGGCTGCACAGTCCAAGCCTGGATCTCTTGTCTTACTGGAGATTCTATAGGCTTTCTTAACCTTGGTCTGATCAGGCTGCTATAACAAAATACCATAGATGGGTGTCAAACAACAGGAATTTATTTCTCCCAGTTCTGGAGGCTGGAAATCTGAGATCAGGGCGCCAGTATGTTGGGCGTTCTGGTGAGAGCTCTCTTCCTGGATTGCAGATGGCACCTACTTGCTGTGTCCCCACATGGCAGATACGGCTCACATGGCTTCCTCTTCTTATATTGAATTAGAGCCTCACCCTTTTGACTTCACCTGAAGCCCTAATTCCCTCCTAAAGACTCTGTAAAGTTACATTGTGGGGTTAGGGTTTCAACATACAAATTTGGGAGGACACAATTCAGTTCATAGCTTCTGCTTAAACTACCTGGAGTAGATTGTATCATTTGCAACAGAGAACCCTAATATTCTTAACAATCACCCCCAAATCAGGAGATGCTACAAAAAAAAACATTTCTGGCCTTTCTGGGAAAATGAGAAGATCTGGCTCCATTGGGCAACAATCAGCTGGAGTGAGAGGAAGCTCTCCCTTTCAGATGGCACACAGGCTCTCCAGTTCACCACAGTCTTCACCCAGCTTCATTCATCATACGCCTGCTTGGCCCCTGTAGGCATTTGCGCTGTCTGCTCTTGGTATAGCATAAGGTGATCTGCACCTCAGATCAGTAAGAACCTCACCAATTTCAAGCTTGGAGAACTAGAACTAACTGATGACAATTATGTTATGGTTCTCGTATTTCATCCAGAAACTGTGTACTACCTCAGAATGACACATGCCTGAGAATGGCTTTATCAATAGTGGGAATAAATTACTGTTCCTGGACTACTGAATGAGTTGAACTTGGCAATATCTCATTACATTCCATGGCTTTTAGTTTCAACCTCATCATATTCAGGTATGAGAAGTTCAGTACAACCAAAACTTCATTCTCATACCCAATTTAATATCTTTTTCTCCACCCCATCCTGGGTCGGACCCACACATGGTTCAGGAAATTGTAGTGGACACCAGGGCAGATGTATCCTTTCCTGCCTCCTCTCCAGCTCACCTTGCCAGAGGACAGGAGCAGAGGAATGAGTGGAAAAGGGGCCCTCATCTGAGAACAGGGGGGCACAGGTACAGTAGTGTTCTCTTGAGTGTCAGATGCCCCCTCCCACCTGC